TGGGGGTTTTGGGGAAAGCCGCCAGGGTCGGTCTGTGCCCCAGGCCTATGGTGGACGGGCTTGATCAACCGGCTGCTATTTTTGGGCCGCACGAAACCCCCTGGTGGGACTGACTTCAGGTCCCTTCCAGCCCCTTCTTGAAGACAGCCGGGGGTCCTTTGGGAAACCCCCCTTTAATTTCCCGGAAAAGGGCATTGAGCATTTTGGGGCCCCCTGAAACAATTGTGTAGTCTTAATGGCTAGTGGCACCCCTGCTTTTTTTGAGGGATGTTGCATCGCCCGGCGATCTTTTGCTTTCGGGGGGAGTAAATTTCGTAGTAAGTTTGGTTTTAAATTCTTTTAGGTTTTTTTCAAGTGTATAAATCATGTTATCTCCCTCCTATTTTAAAGCTTTCCCCAAAATTGAGGTTTTTATCGTAGTTATGTTGCCGTAAAGGTTCTTGTACATTTTCTAGGTCAGGAATTTCACTTCCCCTGAAAGTTGCTGTTAGTGTGAGCAGTATTCCACCCTTGATAGAACAAGAAAACCTGAAGGCGTAAACTGGAGACACCCATTTTTTAAGGGTTCTCTTACCACCTTCATTTTTTGCAGATGCGTTTGATACACTTATGGTCTTTGAAGGCCCATTTTCACATGATTACTCCCGGACTTTTACTTATTTTTTCGCTAAATTGTGTTATTGGCATTTGTTTTTAAATCTGCTTTAGTTTTAAATTTTCCCCACTTTCCATTCGGAAAAATTTTAAAATTTTTCCATCATTAAACCCTTCAAATTGCTTTCTGCGGCCCATTTAAAGATTTGTTGAGTCCCCTGGAGTCTTGGTGTTTCCATGGAGGACCTGCCAGCAGTTGGGGTCATTTGCAAAAAGCAGGGTGCTGTGCTATACCCTGTCAGATAGGGAGAAAACAGGATGGGACGATACTGGCCTTGTGGAACAGAGCTTTTACTGTAGCCACCTAATCTACTCTTTTTTACTATATTTGTGTTCTTTTTTGTTGGAAATTATAGTCCATTATAAATTTTCCGTTATTTTACCCATTTTGTGCACTATTACACCATGGTCACACTTCCCAAAAGGGCTTTTGCAAAGTCTTGTATCTCATTTGCTTTTTCCCTGTTTTACAGATCCGGGACCTTGCCCGTAGGGGTCCATATTTGGGGGACAGACAGGGGCGACTGCTTTAAACCCATTTTTGCCCTGGGGTAGTAATGAGGGTATTTAGAGGGTGGCGTCTTCTTCTTAAATCTTTTCAAAGATTTTTATGATAAGGACTTTTACGCCGGTTGTTTTCTTTGCTTTTGTTTAAGTGCCCCCTTTTGGAGGGGGGCTGTATCGTTTTTTTTTAGCAGCTGTGGACCCCCCCTGTGCCCGTGCTCCCTCTCCATGGAGTTAAAAGCTTTTTTGATAAAAAAAAGTTCTATTAGTTTGGGCCTGGGGGAGGCATGGCTATCAATTTTTGCCTTTTTTTAAGTCACTTGGCGTGTCAGAAGGGTTAAGCATCAGAGTAATTAAGAAAAAAATTTTTTGGGTGCATGTTTCATGACAAGTTAGGGATCACAGTAATTACGTAAGACTTTATGGGGGCAAAGGGGTTATGGAGGTTAGGTATCAGAAAATTAGTAAAGACTATGGGTGCATGGGGTTGTCATGGGATGGTTTTGGGATCAAAGTAAAATTTGGTAAGATTCATCAGAAACAACAAATGCCTCCCGATGCAGGCTGTCACATTGACCCACTCCCGGGTTGCTTGGTTAAATTTTGGCATACACGTTTTTTTAAAGTTCAGAAAAACCAAATGTGCACAGAGTTACCGGGATATTAAGGCAGCCCTGCTCATAACTCATCAGTATTTTTCCCAGGATTCCTGATGGTTCACTATTCCCGGACCCCACGAGATCGTAAAAAACTGATTTCTAACAAACCACAGAATGGGGGGAGTTGAACCCCAAGCAATAGCATTTAAAAATCGTCCAGTACGTAAGTCACTAGGCCACTGACTAAAAATAAGAACGAGTCACCGGTTCAAACCCAAGTTCAGGGGCTAACGTATATTAATTAAGGCTGGTTACCAGACTGCTTTTTTTGCCAAGAAAAAAAATATTGCAAATTTTAAAATTTATTCAATAATAAAAATTTTGATAAAGACCAAATTACCCATACTAATATTAAATTTACTCAAAAATTTACTAACATTAATTTGTCTTCAAAATTCAGTTTTACTTAATGTTTCAAATATTAATGCGATAAAAAAAAGTAACCAAAATGTGTTGTGTATTAAGTGACTTAAAAGAAAAGCAATTATATAAAATTGACGGGTAGAGTTTTGAAAGATAAGATGACTGGGGCCCTAAGGTTTTTTTTAATTCAAGAAATTGAGCTAAAATTTTTCTTGCTTTCCTAATCAACCTGACTGAGTCTTTTTTCCCCTAGTGCTGTTTGCTCTTAAAATTTAACAATTCCGGGGAAATATATTAGAATTATTACTTCGAGTCTTTTAAAGCCTCAGCTAGGAAAAGAAGCCTTTAGTTCAAATAGAACATATATTGTTATGCTTAATGAATAGAGGTGAAATAGTATGCTATTAATGTAAGGCAATCAGATTTCATCATGGAAATAGAGGATGGATCTAATATCCTGGATCAAAAGCTTTGCACTGGCTTCATGGTCAAATGGCATCCATGGGAATGACTGATCTGACACTCACCTTTGTCACTGACGGAGGGGCACCTGGAGACGCACTTGCCCTTGACGGCCTTGCTGCCCTTTTCGTAAGCGTGATCAGTTGGAGCGATGCGAGAGGGCGTAGACAGGCCTGCAAAAGGCGCCCACTTCAGTATGCTGGCCAAATCCGGAGAGTCGTCTTGAAGGCCTTCAAAGGTCGGCATGCAAGTTGTAGATGAGAGTAGACAGTTGCTTAATAAGCGGGTGCAAAGTCTAGGTGGTGGTGAAGGCAATGGTCGTAGCGGCAATGTGGTGGTGGTCGTGGTGGGTCGTGGGTGGAGATGGAAGCACGTACAAGCTGATACAAGGGTCATCAGGTCTCTCTCTGTGCAGGTGGGGCGAAGGGGAGGAGGAGAGCAGCGTGCTGGGGTGACTAAAATTAGGGGGAAGGGAAGGCACGCTGGGCCTCAGTGCCATCTGTCAGGTGGCGCAGGTAAAGGGACATGGGAGAAGCAGCAGGTGGTGGAACACCCATGTTCCCAGTGCTGTTTCCCTTCTAAGGTCGTGCTGCTCTAAATACTAGTACTTATGTCCTGAGTTGACTATTCATGCTTGATACGGTAGATGTTGATGGAGGTGGTGTATGGTGGGGATGGAGGTGTCATTGGTGGTGTTAGCGAATGATGGTGTTGGAGGGTGGTGGTGTTGGAGGGTGGTGGTGTTGGAGGGTGGTGGTGTTGGAGGGTGGTGGTGTTGGAGGGTGGTGGTGGAGGGTGGTGGTGTTGGAGGGTGGTGGTGTTGGAGAGAGATGGTGTTAGGAAGGGGTGGTGTTGGGGCTCAGTCCTCCCAGCCCCCTCACAACTTAAGTCTCCTAAACACATCAAGCTGGTTGATTTATTAGGTTTCAAGTCTATCGACTATGTCATGGTCATTATAGCTGCATATCACCTGTTCACCATCAGGCAATAATACCTTAATCTCTTAAGAGAGTGATTTAAGTAAGCGTGAATATACACAGAGATGGACGTCTCTCTCTGTATATACTTAAAAAAAATAGGTTACAGTCAGACACTTGGGGAACTTAGCATCTAGTTTTGATTAAGGAAGATAGTCGTGTATAAATATTAATAGATTTGTAAGCCCTTGTTATATATTTATATACATATTAATTTTTTATTTTTTTTATAAAAATATATGTGAATTAAAGTATGACTTAGAATAAGGTAATGATTAGTGAGCACAGCTGTGGAAATGTGCTGAGAGGTGGTGTGCTGCACTTACATCACACTGGCTTGTGCTGATCAGAGGAGCCACTACTGTGTCGGCATAACAAGAGGAGGGGGAAAGGGTCTAAATATGGAGAGGATGTGTTATGGAGTGGGCTGACATGTTAATGTGGGTGGGGGTCTTCATGTAGGTGAGGATGTTCGTGTGGATGGTGGGGGTGTTGGTGTGGGTTGTCACGGTGGTGCAGGGCGCAGTGTGGGCCGCGCTGCGGACTCTCACCTCCGTCAGGTACAGCCGGGCACTTTCTCTTGACGCGGCTGTAGGTCGATTCCACCACGCTCGCCACCGGCTGTAGGAGGGAGGGCATCAGTCTCGGGGGTGGGTCAGCGCGCTAGGTGGGAAGCAAACACAAAACTAAAACCACATCATCATACTATAATTGAAACATAAAACAAGAAAAAAACAGTCATGCCACAATGATGTGCTGGAGTCGATCCTTTTGGTCCTTGAAACTGGCGTTTCTTATTTTAAGAGAGATTTACTTAAAGGGTCAATGGCCCTCGTTTATTCATTTCATATATTTTTAATTATCCTGCTACAAGAAATTAACAAGATTTAGAACAAAAAAGGTCAACTCGGCACAGAGTAAATATTAAAACATACAAAAATATCATCGAAATTAAAACATAAAAACAGTGTTGAACATTGCAACATACAGGCAACTTACAACATTAATGCAAAAAAAAAAAATGGGTTCAATAAAATTAAATTGAATGTGCAGTTATTTCATCGAGGAGGGTGGTGGGTGAGGTGCCTTGATGCTGGTGAAGAGATCTTGATACAAGAGCTAGAAATACACTCCCTATCCTTTAATAAAACCTGTTTACCTTCCCATAAGAGCTGTATGAACTCAAGTTGGGTTTAGCCCTTCCATAGAAATATACTTAACATCGAGTGCAGTAATGCAACACGTTCCCAAATAACATCTAACTAAACTGACAATACGTAGATGACCTTACCTGCCATCAATACAATTTTCCAAGGAGGTACTATAAAAGGATTTTGTAAAATTTTAAGAGAAAATTCACTAACGAATGTAACTGAGCAGAGTGTTGGAAATATTTTGGCAATGCCACTAATAATGTTTACCTATGAACACGGTGTTTACCTTGGTAATTTATATTAACAAATTGGTTTAAAAAGTCGCATGAACAAATACTAGGATGTATTTATTAGAAAGCATTTAGGTCCTGAGAACCTGATCACTTCTAACACAGAAAGATTAAAATAACAGAGTATAAAGACGCAGAGTGAGAAAATTACTAACTATAATGCTCGGATAATAAAACTAATACCTTTAAGTTTTATTAACAAGTTTTACTATCAAGTCTTACTTATTATATTAACATTTTAGTTCCAATTATTAATAGAGTTATTTATTTCTTAAAGAAATTCAATATTTTTAATCCTTTTTAGGGGTTCTTTAGAGTTCTTATATTAAAGGCTCCACATAATGCCAGTTTCCGTTTGTGACAAGCTAAAATTATATGAATTTCAGTACTTAAAAAAAAAAATCCCTTGAAGATATTTCCAAAAGAATTCCTAAAAATACTGATTAATAATTCAGTCAAGTGGTTGAAATTTAAGTAATTAGCTCCTTACCATTATCTTAAAAGATTTGTAGAGTAGGAAATTAGAATAATTTTTTTTTTATATTAGAACAACAATTTAAAGATAAAAACTGGACGACGGAAAGACCATTATCACATTGCAAGTGTTATAAGTTATCACAATTGAAGTTTACCTGGAGAGAGTTCCGGGGGTCAACGCCCTCGTGGCCCGGTCTGTGACCAGGTCTCATGGTGGATCAGGGCCTGATCATCAATTGTCATTCTCTAGTTGATAAAGATGTGTCAGTTTATATTTCTACCACTACATTAATGAGTAGCTCCATTTAAGCTAGTTAAAGAGCAAAAGATACTAGTTTAGCACCAATGCTGGTTGGCAGGACAATGGTGCTACATTTGCACCATTCAAGCTAGGTAATGGAATATTGAAGCTAGCTAATGGGATAATGGCAAATAGGACAAGGAAACTAATAATCAGGACAATGACGGCAAATTAGCAACATTGACGATGAATAACAGGACATCGACGTCAGTTTAGTATTACTCAACCCATTGAGGCACTAACAGAACTGTTCCAGGATGAAAACACTGCACATTAAGCTACGCACATAAATTTATGGAAAACCAAACAAAACAGGTAAAAGTGCTTTGCCAGCTGGCCACTAACCGAGGGTAGGGGCGGAGGAGGTGGCGTCTTGTTCTCCCCAGGCATTCTGAAGGTGGCATACGGAGAGATCTCGTCATAGGAACCCAAGGGCAGCGTGGAGGGTGTGTAGGCCTCCAGAATCTCCAGGCTGTGCCCACCAAGTAGCGTCTCAGAGGTCAAGCCAGAGTCGGGGGTGAGATCGTTGTGAACGTGGTTCACCTCTGTGAAGGAAGTCAGGATTACCGTAGCTTAATGAACGTGTGGAGGTCTGGTAGTTAAGGTCAGTGAGATACTGTATACAGAGAAGTGTTATGACATTCTACTAAACACTAATATTCACTGGTCATCAGCTCAGACAAACCCACAATGACTCAAGCTACCTGTATTGCATATGTCGCCTAGCAATGAGGCCTTTGTTGCCATTTTACAATGTAAGGGTAAAATATTCAGCAAATGCTCATATTATCTTCCATTTTATCGTCTCCATGTGAGTTAGCTTGTGCTATATTCCACTGTATTTTCTGTCATGCAATGTAACTTCTTACAATTCAATTTGACAGTAAAACAAGTTCCTATTTCCTTAGCGGATAATCGCCAGGAGAACTGACCCTTGTAAGTTTGCGTGTGTGCCCTGGTCCTGCGGCAGGTGTAGGCGACTGCGACACAGACAGCAAGGAGCACCAGGATGCAGGCTACCACCACAGCCACGAGGACATGGGAGTCCAGGTACCAGGGTGCCAGACCTACAGCGTCGTGCACTATCAACTCAGGGGATAACGTGGCTGTGGAATGGAGTGAACACATTTATTTTTCCATGGAGAATGGACGTTTCAAGGTAAAAAAAAATTAAATGCTCGAAACAAAGTGAATACTCTCAATCTACAAAATCTTTTCAATTTGTCCTTAGATTTTAACCCCTTCTTTGAATAAAAACCACTAAAGAATCAAAATTTTCCAAGGCCATATCAGCCGACATGACGATGATATTGGTTCCATGTCGGGTAGGGCTGGCCTCATGCAGATAGCATGAGGAAAATACTAGAAGATAGTTAATAGCCAGCCCTAAGCTTCTAACCACTGGGAACAGGTCATGCAACGTAAAAAGTTACATTACAATAGCGGATCATTTACATACATTCATTTACAACCTCCCAACTAATGAAATATAAGGAATAAATCCCTCGTTTTGTCAACCAGTGTTGCAAATACTCTCAGTGTCAGTTAACACGCCTGTGTGAATTCTCCTATTCAGGATTTCTTAATTTTAACACCATTACTGTCATTATCAACTATCATCCACTAATATCATTACTAGCATTATCATTATATTACTAACAACCTGATTCAGTAAACCACTAAACTAATTGCAATCACCATATTGCAATCAACTTTGTACCACTGTACCTAGATGGGATAGGACCTCAATTGGTCACTCTGCATTTCTTTTGGGCTATCCCAGGATGATCACACATGTGCACCCATACCTAAATGAACCTCCATTTCTACTTCCATACTACTGTTATATCACTCAGGTTGCAGTCTGTATTGCAGTACACCAAGACCATCTGTAGCATTACGATACCTGTATGCAGTAGTAGCAGTGTTATGCCTATTTCCTGTTGTTGCCCTTGCAACATTGCACAGCTCCTGATGACGCACTGAGAAGTGTGAAAGTACTTGAGCTCTTGAGCTAAAGATTTCTACCCCTCATGGCTTGTCTTGCATTGCTAAGATTGCGTTTGCGATTTTTTACACTATGAATGCCACTCGGTAACTCTTCTCCTAATTCTCACGTCTTTTTCCTTCTTTGACTTTTGCTGTTACCTCCTAATAAATACTCATAAGGCTGTGTTGAAGTTAATGTTCCTAAATAAGTGCCTAAGTGAACAGGTTGTACCGAAATTGCTACTGCAGAACAGGTTGTACCGAAATTGCTACTGCAGAACAGGTTGTACCGAAATTGCTACTGCAGAACAGGTTGGTCAGGTTGGCTACTACACTGTTTGATCAACTACACAGGTTAGTGCTTACTAAAATTATTGAATTAGTATGACACGAGAAGATGCTTTTTATACATACGAGGAAAGCCAAGACGATTTTCTTTAACAAGATTGCCCTAGGGTGGCAAGACTACTTGCTTGATTATATTTATAGTGAACTTAGAAGAGTTGGGGAGAACACCGAACTTATGCATATGAGAAAGTTAAATAACCTCATAGCACAGAGTGGCTAGACCACACATGCAAATCTGGAGTTTGTAATGAACTTGTCTAGTGAACAACAGGCAGCACTAGGGATTGGATTAAGCTTTGCGCCAACAACTAAAGATGTTAATTACGCAAACGAAGCAAAATCTTTCTGCATCCTAGAAAAACATGGTGACCTCACGCCCGACACATTTAATATATGTAAAGGGGATGGTATACGGGACTTTACTCAGTCCGGTGGTCCCCAACTACCCATTAAAATTCACTAAAGCATACAAGGAGCTCAGTAACGATCAGACCTTGCATCTCTCGAGAAGTGATAAATTCAATATAGTTGTTATTTTAGATAAAGCTGAATACTTAGGTAAACTGAACCATTTATTGAGTGATAATGAAACTTATGAACTACTTGTTAGGAACCCCACTGATCAGTTCAATAGGCATTTCAATAAACGTTTTAAAACGCTATTGAAGGGAAATGATGAACTAATTAAACACTTGTCAGTGAGGTCAGCAACTCCACCATATCTTTATGGGTTGATCAAGACTCAACCAGGAAACCATGTGCATCCTATTATAAGTTCAGTAGGCACAGCAGCATATAACCTATCTAAATTATTGGTTGAACTTTTAACTCCCATGGTTGGTAAGATCTCGAAGGCGCAAATTAAAAATAATGTTGACCTTACTGAGAATCTCCAGAAATTAAATGTTTCACACGACTTTACCCTGGTGAGTTATGATGTCATAGCCATGTTTACCAGAGTCCCTGTCCCTGACTTGCTTACATACCTTGAAGAGGAACTAGAAAACTTTTCCTTGCGCTATCCTACGAATATAATTATTGAACTGATTAAACTGCGTCATGGATCGCAAGTTTGTGTTTAAAGTCAAGTACTATGCTCAGAAGTAGGGTATGGCTATGAGAAATCCCATCAGCCCCTTACTCAGCAACCTGCATATGGAATTCTATGAGACTAGACTACAAAGATATTCTCCCAAATAATGCTAGGTGTTTCAGATACGTAGATGATGTGCTTTCCCTTTGACCTAGAGATCACAACATTGACGAGTTCCTACGTAGACTTAATGGTCTGGTACCTTCCATTAAGTTCAAAGTAGAGCATGAAATGGATAACACACTACCCTTCCTAGACGTTTTAATCCATCGCATCGATACAAGTCTCAGATTTACAGTTTACAGGAAGACCACCAATGTGTCATCATACATTCATTTTTCCAATCATGAATCTAGGGTTAATAAGAGTTTTCCTTACAATGTTCCTGAGAGCTTTGCTTATCTGCAGTCCTGAGTATTTGGAGGATGAAATCAACAAGATAGTTAACGTAGCCACAAAACTGAGATATCCCAGGGATTTCGTTAAGAAGGTCCTACTGTCAGCTAGGAAGACTTTCTACAGGAGTGAACCTAAGGAAATGCCTGACAGGCATTTTATATGTTATCATGTCCTCTCTATTCTTCCTGTTCTCCAGAGTTGTCATAGGGCAATTCCCTTGGCTCTGGGATTAGTTTTGTTGCAAGCCCTTTTTTCACTTTCTCTAATTTTTTGACAATGTTTGGGTTCCATAGTGTAGCTGCATACTCTAACAATGGCCTGACATACACTGAAAATACTATCAATTTAGATACTTTGTGTATGCGTGAGCTGTGAAGCAGTTGACAGGTGGTGACTTACAGTACCTCCCAGGTGGTGAAAGGGTAGGTGGCAACAAAGGAGACAGGTGGTGAAATACAGTACCTCCCAGGTGGGTAAGTGTGGTGAAAGGATAGGTGGCAACTGAGGAGCCAGCAGAGTTGTGGGCGGTGACTCTGAGGGTGTAGCGGTGGGCGGGCTTGAGATCGAGTACCACAAACTCCGTAGTGTTGTCCCACCTCACATGGTTAGATACCAGGGTCCACGATGTCAGTCCTCGCTCCTGTAATGTGAAGGCGTAGACTATACAAAATGTATTATGTTATACCGGAACGAAGGAGTAAAAACATCTAACAGCAACACACACCCGGAGCATCTGCAGAAAATGCGTTTATAATCAACAAAACACAAATTTAGAATTTGTAAATCGTGTCTAACAAAACAAACCTATTTGAGCTCAGTGACAAAATAACTTGAGAAGGGAAATGGATGATTACATTGTTCTCAACCTCCAGTGAGGGAACTCACCTTGTATTCCATCACCAGTGAGGGGACTCACCATGTGCTCATCCACCAGTGAGGGGACTCGCATTGTATTCAACTACCAGTGAGGGGATTCACCTTGTATTCAGCCACCAGCGAGGGACTCGCCTTGTATTCAGCCACCAGTGATGGGTACTCACCTTGTATTCAACCACCAGTGATGGGAACTCACCTTGTATTCAACCACCAGTGATGGGGACTCACCTTGTATTCAACCACCATGGAGGTGATGGGGCAGCCACCGTCAAGCCAAGCGGCCAAGTTGAGAGAGATCGATGTCACGTTGACTCTGAGCAGCGAAGACTGGGCAGGTACGATGGGCTCTGAGAGAAGAGTTGATGTTTAGAATCATGCATTCCGGAGTAGACGGTCTTTAACTTGGAGGTATCTTGATGCTGGGGAAGGTTTCTTGATTCAAGGAAGGAGAGCTACTCACTACTCCTCGGAAGAGACCTGTTTTTCGGACTACCAAACCAAGTGCAGATAAGGAATCGTGCACAGATGAAAATACTAAAACAGGAACGGCTACAGTTTCTGGTACAAGCACTGTGACGGGTTTTGGGAAAAGCACTGTGACGGGTTTTGGGAAAAGCACTGTGAGGTTTTGGAAAAGCACTGTGACGGGTTTTGGGAAAAGCACTGTGACGGGTTTTGGGAAAAGCACTGTGACGGGTTTTGGGAAAAGCACTGTGACGGGTTTTGGGAAAAGCACTGTGACGGGTTTTGGGAAAAGCACTGTGACGCGTTTTGGGAAAAGCACTGTGACGCGTTTTGGGAAAAGCACTGTGACGGGTTTTGGGAAAAGCACTGTGACGGGTTTTGGGAAAAGCACTGTGACGGGTTTTGGGAAAAGCATCTGTGTGTGTGTGTGTGTGTGTGTGTGTGTGTGTGTGTGTGTGTGTGTGTGGTGTGTCTGTGTGTGTGTGCTGTGTGTGTGTGTCTGTGTGTGTGTGTCTGTGTGTGTGTGTCTGTGTGTGTGTGTCTGTGGTGTGTGTCTGTGTGTGTGTGTCTGTGTGTGTGTGTCTGTGTGTCTGTGTGTGTGTGTCTGTGTGTGTGTGTGTGTGTGTGTGTGTGTCTGTGTGTGTGTGTGTGTGTGTGTCTGTGTGTGTGTGTGTGTGTGTCTGTGTGTTGTGTGTTCTGTGTGTGTGTGTTTCTGTGTGTGTGTCTGTGTGTGTGTCTGTGTGTGTGTCTGTGTGTGTGTCTGTGTGTGTGTCTGTGTGTGTGTCTGTGTGTGTGTCTGTGTGTGTGTCTGTGTGTCTGTGTGTGTGTGTGTGTGTGTCTGTGTGTGTGTCTGTGTGTGTGTCTGTGTGTGTGTGTCTGTGTGTGTGTGTCCTGTGTGTGTGTGTCTGTGTGTGTCTGTGTGTGTGTGTCTGTGTGTGTGTCTGTGTGTGTGTGTGCTGTGTGTGTGTGTCTGTGTGTGTGTGTCTGTGTGTGTGTGTGTGTGTGTGTGTGTCTGTGTGTGTGGTGTCTGTGTGTGTGTGTCTGTGTGTGTCTGTGTGTGTGTGTCTGTGTGTGTGTGTCTGTGTGTGTGTGTCTGTGTGTGTGTGTCTGTGTGTGTCTGTGTGTGTGTCTGTGTGTGTGTGTGTGTGTGTGTGTGTGTGTGTGTGTCTGTGTGTGTGTCTGTGTGTGTGTCTGTGTGTGTGTCTGTGTGTGTGTCTGTGTGTGTGTCTGTGTGTGTGTCTGGTGTGTGTGTCTGTGTGGTCAGTTTATTAGGTACACCTGTACACTTTCTCATTAATGCCTAAAAACATGCAGACATGGTCAAGATATTAATGTGTTCAAATCAAACATCAGTGGTGGGAAGAATGTGATCTAATTGACTTTGACAGTGGAGTCACTGTTAGTGCCAGATGGGATGGATTGTTTCAGAAATTGCTGATCTTGCGGGAATTTAATTCCCAATAGTTTCCAGTGAGGGGCAGTTTCGTGGCCTCAAAAATGCCTTGGTGGAATGCAGAAGAATCTCTCAGAATGCACAACACTGTGAACCTTTACAAGGATTGGATGTAACAGCAGAGGACCACATCGCATTCTACTGTCAGATAAGAACGGGAAACTGAGGATACAGTAGACACAGGCTTACCAAATTTGGGTAGCTGAAGATTGAAAAAAAAAATCGCCTAATCTGACGAATTACAATCTCTGCTGCGACATGTTGAATCCATGCCACAAAGAATTCAGACTGTTCTGGGGACAAAAGGGGCTCTAGCAAATACTAGAAGAATGTATTTAATAAAGTGGCTACTGACCACACACCCACACACACACACACACACACACACACACACACACACACACACACACACACACACACACACACACACACACACACACACACAAATATATACATATATATTGTAGGTAGTAGGTTGGTCGACAGCAACCGCCCAGGGAGGTACTACCGTCCTGCCATGTGAGTGTAAAACGAAAGCCTGTAATTGTTTTACATGATGGTAGGATTGCTGGTATCTTTTTTCTGTCTCAAAAACATGCAAGATTTCAGGTATGTCTTGTTACTTCTACTTACACTTAGGTCATACTACACATACATGTACAAGCATATATATACACACCCCTCTGGGTTTTCTTCTATTTTCTTTCTAGTTCTTGTTTATTTCCTCTTACCTCCATGGGGAAGTGGAACAGAATTCTTCCTCCGTAAGCCATGCGTGTTGTAAGAGGCGACTAAAATGCCGGGAGCAAGGGGCTAGTAACCCCTTCTCCTGTATATATTACTAAATTTGAAAGGAGAAACTTTCGTTTTTCCTTTTGGGCCACCCTGCCTCGGTGGGATACGGCTGGTACGTTGAAAATATATAATATGTGTCGTGCCCAATAGGCAAACTTGCTATTTTGGCTTAAATAGCAATAGTCTTCTTGTCGAATAAGGCGAGCAAAAATTTGTGTATGCAATAATTTCGCAAAAATCATTCTGAACATAACAAAAACAATGTTTCATTGTATTTATTTATTATTATATAATTGTAAACTTATCAAATATATTTAGTTGGATTAGGCTAAATTAAATTGCGCTTATTATAATAAGGTTAGGCAAGTTTTCTAAGGTTCCCTTGGTACAAAATTATTAATTTTTATATTAACAAATGAAAAATATAGGTTCAGACATAAAAGAATTTTTTTAGAAAGGACTTAATTTTAAACGAGTTCTTGCTAATTGACCAGTTTTACCTATTCGGCACATGCATAATATATATATATATATATATATATATATATATATATATATATATATATATATATATATATATATATAAATATATATATAATATATATTGTGTGTGTGGGGGAGGGGGGCAAAAAGAAATTATCGTGAAAATAAGAAATAAAACCTGAGTGCTGTCACGTACTTACACAAAATCTTCCGAGTATATATTTATATATTTATTCTTCCATATTTCACTCTTACCTCTTCCCAGAGTCTTGGTGGGGATGGCATCACTGGGCTGAGAAGCTCCCACATGGTTGTAGGCACTGACGTAGACCTGGTACCTGGTGCCACACTGCAGGCCTGTCAGTGTGTAGGAGTCAGCGTGGGGTGGCACCTCCACCCGTCTCCACTCTCCGAATTCTCTCTTCTCGTGTAGGTAGTAACCTGTGTAACACCGTTATTATATACCTTGCTACACCCTTTATATATATACGTGTATATATATATATATTATATATATATATATATATATATATATATAATGTATTATATATATATATATATATATATATATATATATATATATTATATATATATATATATATATGTATTATATATATATATATATATATATATATATATATATATATATAATATACATACATGTATATATATATAATATATATAATATATATATATATATATATATTATATATATTATATACATACATGTATATATATATACACATGTATAATGTATATATATATTTTATATATATATATATAATATTTTATATATATAGTTACCTATGTCTTATTATATTGTCTATACTCGTTCTTTAACACAGACTAAAGAATACACTAACATATAACTTGAGAGAAAAATTATGATATATCGGAGTCCTATTAAGACATGGAGGCAGTATTTACCTAGTATTGGAGCACCTCCAGAGTTGGCACTTCTCCACCTCACTGTGAGGGTCGTGGATGTCACATCAGACACATACACCAGTGGAGGTGACGGTGGCACTGTAAAGGAAAAATTAATCATATCGGTACTATGATGAAGCTGGTATATTGTCACTGTCTAGCAGCTAATATATTATCATTGTGGAGATGCTGCTAAATTGGCACTTTTGAGAAGACACTAATGGCATAGGCGTATTGACAGTACTGTAATGGCACAAGTATAATGGCACTGGTAATTTAAGAAAGTTCTATGGCGGCGTTATGTGGGAAAAGCTGCTACTAAGGTCTGTTTATTCTTGAACTTTGCAGGAATGATTCTTACCATTTCCTAATTATTTTAGAACTAATGTAAATATATTTATTTAGGCCTAGGTTTTGTGAACTGGTGGAAAAATATTCATGAATGCCCAGTCATTGTTGCACTCACAAAGGCCAGGTTATTTTAGCATTTTAATGACGCACTTATTCTGCGAGAAGAATATATTTAGTTAATTTTCCCTGCATGGTGTTTTTTCCTTACTGGAGTGGTGCCGCTACACTTTCATAAAAATATTATCTGAAATGTCTTCAAAGACTAAAATTATAGAAATATTAAAACTAATCCTTAAAAAGTTTTGCGCTAAGGCTCTCTGTGAGGGTGGTGTGTCTATACACTGCTTCTCGGTCACTAATATTAAACAAGAGTCCGTGGATAAAACAATTCCAAATATATAAACTTTATACCTGGAGAGAGTTTCGGGAGTCAACGCCCCCCCCCCCGGCCTGGTCTGTAACCAGGCCTCATGGTTGATCAGGAACTGATCAACCAGGCTGCTACTGTTGGCCGCACGTAATCCAACGTATGAAACACAGCCCGGTTGGACAGGTACTGACTATGTGCCTGTCCAGTGCCTGCTTAAAGACAGCCAAGGGTCTATTGGTAATCCCCCCGATGTATGTTGGGAGGCAGTTGAACAGTTTTGGGCCCCTGACACTTATTGTGTTGTCTCTTATCGTGCTAGTGGCATCCCCGCTTTTCATTGGGGGGATGTTGCATCGTCTGCCGAGTCTTTGCTTCCGTAGGGATTGATTTTCGTGTGCAAGTTTGGTACTAGTCCCTCTAGGATTTTCCAGGTATATATAATCATGCATCTCTCCCTCCTGCATTCTAGGGAGTACAGGTTTAGGAACTTCAAGCGTTCCCAGTAACTGAGGTGGTTTATCGCAGTTATGCGTGCCATGAAGGTTCTCTCTACATTTTCTAGGTCAGCTATTTCACCTGCCTTGAAAGGTGCTGTTAGTGTGCAGCAATATTCCAGCCTAGAACAAGTGACCTGAAGAGTGTCATTATGGGCTTGGCATCCCTGGTTTTGAAGGTTCTCATTATCCGTCCTGTCATTTTTCTAGTAGATGCGATTGATACAATGTTATGGTCCTTGAAGGTGAGATCCTCTGACATGATCACTCCAGGTCTTTGACGTTAGTTTTTCGCTCTATTGTGTGGTTGGAATTTTATACTCTGCTCAAGTTTTAGTTTTCTCACGTTTTCCATATCGGAGTAATTGAAATTTCTCATCACTGAACTTCACATTGCTTTCTGCAGCCCATTTAAAGATTTGGTTGATGTCCGCCTGGAGTCTTGCAGTGCCTTCACTGTCATGCAAATTAGGGTGTCATCTGCAAAGGAAGACACGGAGCTGTGGCTTATATCTCTGTGTCCTATATAAGGATGAGGAACAAGATAGGAGCGAATACTGTGCCTTGTGGAACAGAGCTTTTCACCGTAGCCCCCTCAGACTTTTCACCGTAGCCCCCTCAGACTTTACTCTATGACTACTACTATTTGTGTTCTGTTTGTTAAGAAATTATAGATCCATCTACCGACTTATCGTGTTATTCCTTTATCATGCGTTTTGTGCGCTGTTACACCATGGTCACACTCTCAAAGGCTTTTACAGAGTGTGTATATTACATCTGCATTCTGTTTGTCTTCTAGAGCATCCAGGACCGTGTCGTAGTGGTCCAGTAGTTAGGACAGACAGGAGCGACCTGCTCTAAACCCATGCTACCCTGGGTTGTGTAACTGATGGGTAACTAGATGGGTGGTGATCTTGCTTCTTAGAACCCTTTCAAAGATTTTTATGTTATAGGATGTTAGCACTATCGGTCTGTAGTTCTTTGCTATTGTTTTACTGCCCCCTTTGTGGGGTGGGTTTTTGT